TTCTTGGCACATGAATCGTACCATTATTTTTTGATCTTAAGGGGCAAAAGGACTATTAGTGACAATGTAATGTATCAGAGTATTAGACCTGGACTGGGAAGACCTACAATTAAGTCTCTGACTGAGTCAGGAAACTCAAAAGGCAGCTGCCCATCATTTGCTCCCAGCCTAACTTGCTTCACATAGGTCCTTTCTGCACTAGACCTTAAATCCTGGTTCAACCCTGTCCCTGAACTTACATTCTACACCACACTCGAGTTGACTCCTGTAATTATCTTGGGATATTTTTTTGTTTCCACATTACATTGAGGTCACCCCGGTTTTGCCCCATACTTGTCCTGGGATAAACGGATGCTGTTATAACCAGGGATAAATGCAAAGTATTGTGTCGCGAGTTGAACTCTGATAAAACCAGGGATGAGATTAAAGTGCGGAAAGAACCATAGTGGTTGTGAGGGAGAGAAAACAAGGGAGATCATTTCATCTAAGGTCTTTTCCGCACTTGGATCTCATCCCTGGTTATCAGAGTTCAACTTGCAACACAATACCTTGCATTTATCCCTGGTTATAACAGCATCCGTTTATCCCAGGACAAGTATGGGGCAAAACCGGGGTGACCTCAATGTAATGTGGAAACAAAAAATACCCCGAGATAATTATGGGGGTGAACTTGCGTTTAGTGTAGAATGTAAGTTTGGGGACAGGGTTGAACCAGGATTTAAGGTCTAGTGCAGAAAGGACCCAAGTAAGCCTTGAGGAAAAAATGGGATAAAATGAGAAATGACTAAAAAAAGCCTTAAGGATGGTAAGAAAGTTCACATTTTGCTAGTATTTGTATGTGTATGGATTTGTGCAGTCTTGGAATAATTTTCGCTGTACTCTTGATGTAAAGCTGCCATCCTGAAGTGAATGGAAAAACAGGCAAATGAAGGACTTCCATATATGTGTTGATACAAGACTCTGACAGTAGAATCCTAAACAGAGTTATATGCTAGAAGAGTGTAATTTGACTTGCGATGGTACTAATTTTTTTTTTAGTTACATTGCCAAAGAATCACAGACAGCGTATTCTTACAGATACCATGGGTTTTGGGATTCACATACACAATGATACAGACATCCAACAGATGGAAGAACAATTCTGATGAAATCTTGGGAAAGTATAATACAGTATAGATGATGTCTTTCACAGCTTTTATAGACATTAAATCTATATTATAGGTAGGTTTCATAGTGTTTTAGTATACCATACAACAAAATATATAACATAAAACAAACTACATATATTAGTATGTTGTTTTGCTGTCGCATTCATCAAACAAAAAGGATTGTCTTTGACTACACTGAATTTTTATAGTTCCTATTTACAATATATGTAGATGAAACTATCAAAGGAGAGGTAAATTCCACGGGAAACTCTCTCTCTTTATACACACACACACACACATTTTACACTAGGGATGTTCACATAGCTATTAACCAATCAAATAATAAAAGCCATTTTAATTAATGCCATGTTTTTAAAAAGTAATTAGAGTTAACAACATTTATATTAATTTCAGGATGGCAGCCTTGTTGGTCTGCTGTACAAGAGCAAGATTCAAGTCCACTAGCACCCTAGAGATCAACAAGATTTTTGAGGTATAAGCTTCAAGTCCCTTCATCAGGAAAGGGAGCTTTGACTCTTGAAAGCCCATACCTCAAAAATCTTTTTGGTCTCTAAGGTTCTACTGGACTTGAATCTAATGTTGATATTAGTTAATATTTGGACCTCATTGTTATTCTGGTGCCTAGCTGTCTAGTTTGATCAGACAAGAGGGAAAAGGGAAAGAAGATAATGTAGCTGACATTTAATCTTTCCTCCTCCCCATTTATTGCATAGGCTGGTCATAGTGTTGGTGAGAAAGCCCAGGCTAGAGCTGGGGCAGTTGCTGATGCTACTGTTGGGTAAGACCAAGGCTGATTCTGCATCTAGCATTCGCTCCACATTTTCTCAACTGGGAGGAAAAAGTGCAGCTCAAAACTACAGACAAATAACCTCGTTGCAAAGTCACCCCTGACGAGCCATAAAACGCCCATAAATCTATTCAGAAGGTACAATTAAATCCAAAGATCAAAGAACTTGAAAGTGGCCTGGAGTGTGAAGCTACCATAAAACCTGGTTATCAAAGGAAGTGAAACCAGCATGCAATGCAGAGAGGAATTTCTGTTCCAACATGGGTTTCGTAAAACAGCAGAGGGAAAAGCCAATGCAAAATCAGCCCAACCAGAAAGAGCCTTTCTGTCCTCCAGCTTTCTAATTCCACTGATGTCTTGGATTCTCTTTTGATCTAGACCTTGTGCCTTTGTGCACACTGGGAAATGTAGTCTCAGAGTGTGTGACATCATTAATATTAGGCACCCTGGGACTGCTTTGCTCAGGGTGCACTGAGGCATGACATCTCAGACACATAGGAAAGAGAGTTCAAGGTGCTTTGGAGGTGGGTGGACAGGGATGAGAAGTTTCTCAACCCTTGCCAGTACATGCTGGTCTTTACTGGGCTGTACAATGAGTGAGGAGAAGGAGGGAAACAGGGGAACAAAACCAATAAATAATGAACAAAAAATACAGAATTAAAAAAGGGTACTAATGAAAATGAATCAGAGTTTTTAAAAATAAATGAGACTTAATATTTTTGTGCACATCCCTGTTTTATACTATATACATTTATGATCATTATAAATCCAAGATGGGGGAAATGAAGTTTTATTATTCAATAAATAGAAATATATTTATTTACAGTTTCAGCAAGCTAACACTTAAAAAAGAATTCTGCCAGCAGAAAAGGACTGCATTCTATGTAGTAGGTAGCAATGAACAGGAAAAGACATTCCTGCATTAATTCAAATCTGTATTATCCTGTCTGATAGGTGGGCCATCTATTAATGTCGACAATATCTTTAAGGTTAAGACAAACAAATGCATATTGCATGTACTGCTTGTATTTTGCTTTAAGTAGAAGTATTTTCTGGAAGTGGGGGGATATTCCAAATCCAAAACATGCTTTAATCATAAGGAGGGTAATTATGAGTATACATAATTATATCTGAGATGTAATTATGAGTATACATAATTATGGTTGTAGCCAATGGATACATTCCAGAAGAAGCTGTGTGTGGATAAGGAGGCTGTCTACTTTGCAGAACTTCTCCATGCAATTCTACGTCAATATACTCCAGCTATTTCCATGATTATGGCTGCAATTTTTCCAGCAACCGGGAATCACACAGACAGTTAGTTGTCCATTCTCACAGTGAATACAACTTTTTCCACAGAACTGCGAATATGTGTTTAGGGGGAAAAAAGACGAACTGCGCATACCGTTCATGGTATATAATAGAAGAAATGAAATGAAATTTTGATGGGGCACACTTGCATGAATTTTTGCTAGAGACCGAGACAACATGATTTCCTATCCATGTGTGAATAATGTATCTTACGTATGCTTGCTTCTTGGTCCTTCCTCTATACCAGCAACAACACATCCTGCCTCGCATGCTTAGCAAACTAAGAGTCAATTAGAATCTATCCCAGGATGGGTGTGTGGAATTAGGATTGCCAACTCTGTGTTGTGAAATTCCTGGAGATTTAGGTGTGATGCCTGGGGAGGCGATGGTTGGGAAGGGGAGAGAGGCATAATGCCATAAAGTCTACCCTCTGGATACAGATAGCAACCAATGGCTGGTACCTGGTAGGAGATGGGGGTGGTGACATGGGGGTGCTGTCATTGCATGTGCGGGGTATAATGCCATGGAGTCATTTTCTCTTGCGCGACTGATCTTTAGTTAGGAGATCAGTTGCAATCTTGGGAGATCTCCAGGTGTCACCTGGAGTTTGACAACCCTAGGTGGGACCCATCTACATGCCCTCTGAGCTCTGTGAAGAAACTCAAGGGCATGAGTGTTCCAAAGTGGAACACTAAAAACTAGTCTAGGAGGAATCATTTCCCAGTGAGAGTGACTTTCATGTAATGTGTTTCTTTGTGTAGATCCTCTTACTAGATTGTATCCCCTCCATGCAAGAAGATACTACTTTGGGTAAAAACTTAATCATCCAGGGTATGTTATGTTGTACTAAGCCATCATGTACAACATAATACAATGGGTGGCACGATCAACTTTGATAACACCAATCACCTGTTTATCTTTGTGTTCTTCCAGCAAATGACTCGTGTTTTTATAAATCTCACCTGGGGCACATATTATTGGGAAGGATGACAAAGGAATACTCACTTCTGAAATATGATTAAATATATACGTAAATAACATCTTTAATCTTCACTTCCTAAATATGTATTTTCCTAATAGCTCTAAGAAAACTACATTTATGGAAGAAACTATTTCCTTCAATCAATGTTCTTTTCTGAATCTGTAGCACTGATTTGTGTTTAGCAATATATTTATCAGAAACGTCATGGCAGAAATGGAAATATTTTACATAATTCATGTTCATTTTGCTTTATATATACATTTTGGCCATAAATAATTTTACTAA